AGTATATATATATATATACTTATTATATAATAAATAAGTAAGATAATATATATACATATACTTATTATTACTTCTATTCTTACTTACTACTACTCTCTCTCTCTCTCTCTCTCTCTCTCTCTCTCTCTCTCTCTCTCACACACACACACACACACAGCAAGCACATATACAGACCCATTGCACAGGTCTCAAACTAGTAGGTAATAATCAACATGAGAAAATCATTAAGAACAGATAATAATCAATTGAACAAATAAAGCAGCTTATACCAGAGAGGAATGATCAAATTCATCCCCAGGGGTGGCACTTGTTGGAACACCCACAACATTGTTAGAAGAATTCCTGAGAAACAACATACAGATATATACAATAAGACTTCCCATAATTAGTGGTTGAAAACCCCACCAAAAAAAAAAGGTATGGGAGAAAACTTGAGAGAATCATTTCAAAATTACCCCTTTGAAACCAAATATGAACATGTACGCTTGTCATGGCCTTGCTGCTTACAATTAATACACGTCTTTCTCCTCTTTGTGGCATTCTCCAAATCAAGATTTGGTCTGCTTATCTCTCTTGTCTTTGTTTGTTGAGGATCCTCCAAATTCACATTCTCCATGGTAGCCGGTTCACTCACTTCGCAGGTATTATCTCCTTGCACCCCACCTATTTGTGTAATTGTCTTAACTTTGGCATTGATGACCTCCTGCAAAACCTTTTGTATACCATGCATTGCTATGCGGTAGAACTCTGCAGTGGTTGCCCCCTCAGCCGCAACTTTAAGGGCATGTTCACATAGATCATTGTATCGCAAGGTCAGAGGTTCATGAGAGCTATTATCTTGCACTTGGACATTGAGCTCATGACTCCTTTCTTCAACTTGGATGTTATGCTCTTTATCAAAAGTATTAGCAAAGTTTTTCGCTCTATTAGCTGCACGTCTATGAGATCGAAGCAGCACCACATTGTTTGGAGAGACCATTGGATGAGAATGTTCCTTGACAAATTTCCGAATGATCCATTGTCCAGATTCCACTTTCTTTGCATAAATCATTGCCTTGCACCCTTCTCTTGTATGTGGCCGTGGTTGCTCACTCATTAGGTGCTTCTTCTCACGAAAACCTTCTTTTGAGCACACAAAGTACCGAGCAATATTCTCACCATTCTTCCGGCGATTGACACTGTTGCGAATGCTAAAACCTATCCACCGTGCATATTCATTATAGAAGGTCCTAACAGTTTCTTCAGATTCAAATACCATGCCTTCAAATGGCTCCAAATTTCTACGGACTTCACAATCAACTGTTGCATTCCCCATTGAGTTATCCACCATCTCATTATTTGTACCTACATGCTCATTTTTGTTATCCATGTCCATGTTCTCATTTTCATTATCTGTAGCCATGTCCTCATTTTCACTATCTGTACCCCTGTGCTGGCTTTCATTTTTCACAACTACATGCTTGTTTACCCCGGATTCTTCTGCTGTATTAAGGTTACTTGAGTCGCATACATTTCTGTTACAAGCTTCTCCTGATTCAAAAACATTATGTTCCATTGTTCTAGAATTGCTTCCCAGGAATCCTCTATCATTTCAAAATTACTCAAGCGACACAAACTTCTATCAGAAGCTTCTCAGTACGCGGTTCAGTTTTAATATGAGCGAGCTGGGGGAATAAGAACAATGCACTGAAATTTATAACCAAAACTAGATCTTTAGCCATATAGAAAACATATAAGCAATGCACATGTCAATGAAACGGAAAAAACCATGTTATGCACAAATCAAGAAAAATATCTGCAGGCTCAACTATAACTAAAACATATTTCATCATATGCAGTCTTCCATCAACAGGGTACAAACTCTGTAGGTAGTATACATCAAAAAGTATCAAATAAGCAATCAAACAAGCACCAGAAAAACATTGCAGATTAACAATACAAACATTATCACTTTTACAAAGTGCTGCCTGACAAGAAAATCAACAAGCATCATAAATAGGTGGGTAAATTCAACAATCAGACAATTTCTATCACCACATTTTAGAGGAAATCTACTATGCTCCAGATAACCTCAAGTTTAGAAAAAGAAGCCAAATAAACCAAAAATTTATACAAGATTGCTGTAACAAATATTTTATTCAGGTCAAAGGAGATATTTAACGGTCTTCATATGGATACCAAAGAAAAATAACAGGCCAAGATCCCTTCTCCAACAATTTAATAGGCAATAGCAATAAAGAAATTTGATAGAATTAACAGCAATAAAAATTTGACAATACAAAGAGCACCCTAAATTCCAATTTGCTGCCAAAAGCAAAGGACTAAAATGGCATATGTGATGCAACTCAAAGTCACCTAAAGCAGAAAAACAACTAAAAAAGAGGCAGCTTATTTGTGGTGTGTGGTCAATCCTTTCCAGATCTCAAAGAACCTAAAGATTCAACATATAATCATATAAAAACTTATCTATTTTCTGTCATTTAATTTCATTTTGATATGACAAATTAATCGACATATTTGGAAAAGGTATTGTTAGCCAAAGAGTTTCAATTTCCATCGGCAACTTATTTCCATATCTACACTATAATTATTACATAATGGTTGGAATACTCTGTCAAAGAGGAGGTTGAGGAGCCAATATGCTAAGGAGTAGGAAAGCAGAGAGTTGGCACACCAAAAAGATTAACAGTTGGAATGATGCAAACACTAATACAAAAACGACACAATTTGAAAGTGATATATTGAAGTTTCAAGGGGATTACGAGAGAATCAGAATCAGAAAGAAGAACAAAAACATAGGGCCACAAAAATCTAGAGATGAGAAAGCAATACACGTAGGTTGATGATGAACAGTGAGAATTCACCTGGGCATTCGGTCACATTACATAGTGAATCAGATGGAAGGCAGTGTCCAAATTTATAGAGTCGTATGTGGTAGTGCCTTGAAAATGCGACCCAAGTTTGTGAGCAAAGTCCATCAAAAACTGGACCAGAAACCAGGAAAAAGTTACACAGGCTGTTACAGAAGAGTTTAGGATGGACACAGGTTTAGGAGACAATTAGGAACTAGGGGAACAAGAACGGAAGAGGATATTCCTGCATCGATGGGATTCCTTGGGTACTCCTCTGGATTTTTTTTTTTTTTTTTTGGGAAACTGCTGTGGATTATTTTTTGAAGGTGACTTTAAAGACGTTATGAGCTACTAGATAGATAGAAGAAAGATAAAGTTATAAGGGAGGAAGAGGGAAGGAAAAGGGCATTTAAGAAACTAAGAAATAGTAAGTTATTTATGATATGAGAGTTGGGAGAACCCACGAAGAAGAGAGCGGTTAGAACATTTGTTCGAAACAGACCAATATAGCTATGTTGCAGGAGGCAATTGTAGCGGAAAGAGCACACTTGTAATGACGGATCAGGTTCTCCTCCCACTTCTTGGTGCTGTGAAGTGTTCAGCAAGGAGGAACACATCAAGGGGGAGTTCTGCTCATGCCTATTGATTAACCTTCATAATGTCAAGGATGGCCTAGTGGGCACAATGAAAAAAGATGATCCAGATAGAACGGTGCAGCTCGAATTGACTAGTGGCTTTAGAAATGGAGCAAGTTGAACAGTAGGTCCTAGTTGGGGACTTTAATATGGTGCTGTAAACCTTCCTGAAGAAGGATGGCAGGCATATCATGAATAATGTGGGCCGATTTTCAAATATTGAGGGTCTCCATGAGTTGGATGATCTTCCATTTTGAAAGGCCAAATTCACACAGTATCATAATGGGAGGGATCCCACTATGTCTAAGTTGGATTACTCCCTAGTCTGAGTTTACTTTTTCTTTTTTATTGCTAAATTTGGGTTTACAAAGAACAATGACAGAAACCAGCTTCTGACTGCATGGCCTTATTGCTTTGTACTTCTATCCATGTGTTTTCTCCTTTTATGTTTGTCACTGTGTTGAATGAGTCGCCCAGACTCAGGGAATTGGAAGAAGAATGTTGGTTCACTCATGAGGTAGGGATTCGTGGGGTTTCACCTTAACAAAAAGACTAAATATTAAAAAAGGTCAAGGATAAATTAGAAAATGGTATTCCGCCAGTTGGAAGATGGGAAGGACATGGCTTCAAGTGTGATGACAGATGCACTTACAAAGGAGCATGATGGTCTGACCGTAAAGGAGGTGGCTTCCAGAACTAGAATCGCTGACTTGAAGATAGAAGACATACACAGGCGCCAACAGTCACAATTCAAACTGATTAAATTATTAAAGACGGTGATCAATACATGGACTTCTTCCATCCGACGGCCCCATGTAGAAGGAGACTATCTTCGCGATTGATGTGAGAGGAAAGAGATGAAGAGCAAGAAACTGTGAGTGTCTTGCAATGATTATATACAGCAGATAACTAGCGTTCAACCATCTGCAGTGCACCGGTGCACAGATGTGTGTGTGTGTGTGTGTGTGTTTGTGAGAGAGAGAAAGAGAGAGAGAGA